GGCAGAAAAAAACCCCAGGGAAAGTACAGAAAAATAAAGGACCTACCAGTGGCACCCTCCAACCACCCGCCGCACACATTTAAAGGTAGGGCCTATACTATTCTTATTATAGTTAGAATTAAACTAGATGAAAGTGTTTTTACATCCCTTTAAAAGAATAGATCAAGTAGGAAGCCCAATAGCACTTAGAGTAGAGGGATACAGCATCCCAGCAGAAAGACCATGATAATCGATAAAAATTCTCCCCATCGGAAATGGAACTCGCGTGTCCAGAGTGTGACGGTGAAACAACTAGCGGCTACACCAGTGAAAGCTACAATGACACAGAAAAAAGTGTGTAATACATGTATCTACCCAATCTACTTTGGCCTTTTCTGGGTCATGTAGCTCTGCAATTAACCATGTTGGATGTAAATTGCTTCATGATTTGATTTGATTTTTTTATATTATATCTAAAAAAAAATTAATTTCATTTTCTTATTTTTAAAACTTTTTCTTTGCTTCCTAGTACATTTGTTATAGGATTCTGTCAATGATTAAACTACTGTTGCTAAAGCTGAGCATGCCTCTCCCAATGCCTGCTAAAAAGAACTTTTTTTACTGTACAGTAGGCCTACATTATAAAAATAAAAACATAATGAGAGATCAGATGCGAGGATATATTATAATCCTGCGATAACCCAAATCCTATTATTAGCATGACTGTTATAATAAGTGCGGCCCACTCTAGTGGCCCCAACAAATTCCATTGGCAGTGTGCACTGGGTACTAGGTGCAGAGTGTCGGACCATGAGGTATAAAGACTTCTCAGGCACTTGAAAACGTTAGACTTAGACCTCAAAAGAAAACAGTTAAAAAGAAAAAAAACTGAGTCAAAAATACAAATCTGTGAAATGTTAATCAGCTGTGAATCCAACTCACTAAAATTCAGGTAGTAGCAAAATTTTGACTAAATCAATGTCCGGCTAATTGGGGCTCACTCGTAACTTCGTAATAACAGCAGGCATAATTATAAATCTCAGAGTCCAATTTCGTATAATGTAGTAAAAATGTTCTTTCTACACCAGGCATTCAAACAGATGGACTAGAACAGTAGTTCTGTTATAATGAATATAAATATTGATAAATCCTCGAGCAAATGCACTGGAAAGCATGGAAAATCAAATGAAGAAAAATAACATCCAGCATAACATGACAAATTGCACCAACATAACCCACAGAGGACCAAATCTGATCATGTTAATATAAAAAAAAGATATCTTATAATATGTTATTTTTATGATGTGTCATACCATGAGTGCTGCTGGGAAGGGAGGGGGAAAAGCTGGATGCATTTTAATAGGGTTGATGCAAATTTCCAGTCAGTGACTTAGCAAGAATAAGTTGGTGTGGGGCCACATCATGGGGGGGGGGGCGAGACTTGTACCGGTACCGGGAATGGAAGATTGAATCAAAAGTAGTACGGGACGCTAGATATAATGCCACAGATCTTAAATACGTCTTCATTTTCTCAACAGTGAGAACTATATGGGATTTGATTACGAGAAGTTGTACAGCGCACAGAGCCTGCTGTAGAACATGGTAGCAATTAGCGCTAGATGAACATAATATTTATATATGTAAAGAAAACAGAATGCATGGTAATATCCAAAAAGCAGCAAATCCTAGTTGTAATCTCATTAGCACAGGTGAAGAGATCAAACAAGTCGAACAGTTTAAATATCTAGGTATGATAACATCTGAGGCCAAATGCTCCACAGAAATAAAATGGAGAATTACAATGGCTAAGGCTAGTTTCAATAAAATGAGCCCAATCCTGAAAAATAGAAACATGTCAATGACTACCAAAATGAAAGTTCTGAAATGCTATGTATGGTCAACCCTTCTACCTCTATAAGGCTGTTAATGCTGGACAATCACTTCAGACAGTGAAAATAAAATAGAAGCAACAGAAATGTGGTTTCTTAGGAGACTGCAAAGAGTATCGTAGAAGGAAGAGAAATCAAATGAGGTAGTGCTTGATGAAGCCCACGTAGGAACGCTCACCGTTAAAAATCATCAGGAAACGACAAATGCAGTTTTTAGGACACCTGAATAGACATAACGATCTTGAACATCTAGCTCTCACTGGCAAGATTGAGGGCAAGCGAGGCAGGGGTAGGCCAAGAGCAACCTATTTGGGGAGCCTGAACAAGTGGGTGACAGGGAAAGATCAGGGAAACGTAGCTTTTTTAAGAGCATCCGAGCAAAGGAATGACTGGAGAACCAAGATCGGGGATGTCTGTCGCAGATCTGGAACTGGATGATAATATTATACACGCATACAGGTGAGTGTATATAATAATAATAATAGATAGCTTTTGTATAACACAAATCCCAGCTCAACAGCAAGCTCTATGCACTTCACAATCCATGCTATAAAATATATATAATATAATACATATATATATATATAAATGTGCAATTATTATTTTCATAAGAATAAGACTACCACTGCAACTCAAATGATGTTGAGTGCAGTTATCCTCTACGAGACTAAGATACCAGAAAAAGAAATTAGTATAAAAATGAGGAGCAAAAATTATCATTGAAAAAAAAAGGTGAAAATTCTTATGAATTATCTGTGGAATGTAGAACCTAAATGTAATAAAAATAAATTCAGTTCGTAATCATTATTTGATTATATACAGTGAGTAAACTTGACCCTGTCTATAACAGGACTCAGATACAACAGAGACATCACGACGGTCCAAGCAGTCTTGTTATAGCCCAAGTCCACTGTGTCTCCCTTGATATAGCCTGAAATTTGTAATAACAAAAAGATTTCCGCATCCTATCTATTTCACTCTACTCTTGTGGCTGACTGTCTAGATACGTTTCTTCCAATATGTGAGAAAGTCTAAAAAATTTCCAAAAATATCATTCACAAAAGTTTTATATCTATGGGTACCATATATATGATTATCGACCATGAGACATTCACTTAAAAAAGAAAACTATTTAGACTTGAGACTTTTCAACAAAATTGAAAACCAACAACAAAAAATGTACCCTGGCATGCATATTTATAAAAGGGTCTTCTCACGTGAAAGTTCTTTTGTGCTTAGGCTGCTGTTTCTTAGGGAAAATGTTGCACCACAAACTTCACATTACACAGTCTTTTTCATCACTGTGTTCTTTTGCGAGTCTGTACGGCCGCACTGTATGAGAATGCTCAATAACTACAAACTTCACACATAAAAATAAGGCTATATTCTCTCCCACGGTAAAGGCTTTCCTCCACAGTGTGTTCTTCTGTATCTCTGATCATGGCCACTTTGTGTAAACATTACACCACAAACTTCCATTTAGTAAGAACTTTTCTCCTATCACGTATATTTATATTATTATATTATTACATATATAGAGAGAGAGATCTATATGTGTGGGGGTTTTCATGACCCTGTAAACTATCATCATCGATCATCATCCATGCCTTTCACCCCTGGCAGGGTATATATAGGCCACATACAAGCTCCTTCCATTTATCTCTGTCCTGGGCCATCCTTCCAAGCTTGTTCCAAGTGAGCTTCATCTCTCTAATGTCCCTTTCCATGCCTCTCCTCCATGTTTCCCCTGGCCTACCCCTGCCTCATGCTCCCTGTGGGTTCCACTCAATGACTGTCTTGTGATGATTCCTCTGGGCTTTCTTAAGGTGTGTTTTATCCATCACCACTTTCTTTGTCCTATTTCAACTTAGATCTTTTGTCCTGTCCTTTCCCACGGCTCTTTATTTCTTATTCTATCCTGTCACATAATTTTTAGAATTATAGAATACTCCTCATACATGATCTGTTGATGAAAATCTGGACTTTATTCAGTACTGTCTTCCAATTTTCACAGCTGTAGAGGAGCACAGACTTGACGTTGGAGATAATGAGTCAAATCTTGGTGTGCAGTGAGATGTTGGTCGCTTTCCAGACTTAACATTTGCCTCGGTTAAACCTTCACCATCGAAGACACTTCCAAGGTAGGTAAAGGAGTTCACTTCTTCCAGAGGAGTGTCTTCCACTGCCACAGCAGGGCTTGAAACTTTTCCTAGCTTCACTACTTTTGACTTGCCTGGATGTATATGTAGGCCAACATTCCTTGATAAGCTGTTGAGTTCCTTGGCTTCTGTAAACTATCATTATTATAGATATCTGCATGTGCAAAGCACATTTGATCTCATACGTAAAATCTTTTGTGTGTTCTTTAATTTGTGGCTCTGTGGGCCGTTACTCCAATTAAATGACACACTACAAACTTCACACATGTAGTAAGACTTTCATCCTGTGTGTGTTCTTTTGTCTGTCAAAGCCGCCACTCTCTACAAACATTTCACCACAAACTTTACACTTTTACAAGTTGTTAAGTTTTTCTCAGGTATATGTATCATTCTGTACCTCTGTAGGCTGCTACTCCAAGTAAACCTACATCACAAACTCTACAAGTAGTATTGGGTTTTTCTACACTGTGTTTCTTTTATGTGTG